TCCCCTGAGAGAACAAAGGCAAAGTCTGGACCTAAAGCTTTTATGCCTAGTATGTTTGAAGAATGTTGAGGAGGACAGTAGGAGGTAGAGTAACAGAAATAAAGTCAGAGAGACAGCTGTGGGGGAGAGATGGAGCCTTGGAAAGTATGGTGAAGCCTAGGGCTTTTACTCTAAATGAGATGGGAAGCCACTGGGTGGCTTTTGAGAACAGAGGAGCTGGGACTTAACCTCATTAAATGTCAGACTAAATGGGCCACATTTATGTTGTTCAGGAAGATGTATTATCTTCCAGAAGACACACAGCTCTTTAGCCTAAATTTAAAAAATAAAATAATTCAGAAGATAATTAGAAGATTTCATACCCACAGTATCTTTTAAAAATTATCAACTCAAAAATTGTGATAAAAAACAAAACAAAACCTGCACCCCCCAGTGGAGTTAGGGAGTACTGCATATAGGCAAACCAGTGGTAAAATCGGACTCTGCTTGGATCAGATGAACTAGATGATTTTTTTTTTTTTTTTGTGAGAGCATGATGGGAAGGACTAAGTGATTTCCAGATGTTTTAAATTAAGGAAAAATTATAAAACTGTAAATTTACCAAGTCCCCAACAGTGAAGATTTGGGAAGTTTGGGTTAGTGTTCTTCCACATTTGGGGTGAATTTATGCTAAATTGATTAGGGTTGTATCTATATTTTTTTTGCTAAAATTTGCTCTTCAGAGTGTTGAAAAGCTAGCTCAGATTGTTGTAGACCCTTGAAAAGTCAAATTTGACTGTTGTGAAGAGCAAAGTGACTTCCTTTTTCCTTTAATACATCACCCCCTCTAATTCCTAGCTCTTGTTTACATACTGCCACACACACAAATTGTGTAATGGTTCTGTAGGGGAGTGGAAAGTCTTAATTCATTTCCTTTTTTTTTCTCTCTTAAGATCTGGGCAATTTTAGTAGCATAATTATTTTTTAAAAAATAAGGGCATCGTATACATTTTCAAGAATAGAGTCACCGGTTACAAAAGGATTATAAAAATGAATATGCTGTTGTTTTTGTTCTTAGTCGCTTATTTAATAGACAAAATTATACTTTCTCCCATAATGTAAGTTTAGTATACTCTAGACTGATAGCATAACCTTGGTAAAGGGGACATAGGTGGTAGCATAATCTTAATTCACCTTTAGTGATGTATTTGGTGATACCTGGTACCTGGTTATGATGATCAGTGACTAAACTTGTAAATAATCAATAAAGTAGGCCTCCCCCGGTGCTCTGTAGATCCGGAGAGCAGTTCCACTGCTACCAACTCCTGCCTTTGCTCATCAACACTGATCACAGGAAACAAGTCACGGATATGCCAGAACATTCCTGGCAGTTTGTACATTCTGTCTCACAGACCCTACACTGAAAACAATGAACAAACCTTGAGATTACAAATGATCTTACTAACAATTTTAGAGACTTTCAGTTTTTGGACTTCCTGCCTGCAGGAAGGAAGTGACAGTTGGAAGTGTGGGGAACAGGTGTTCCCCTGAACAGAATGATATCTTCTGCTTACTAAAATAAAAAACACTGCATCAACACTGCTCACTGGAAGTGCATTCTAACCATAAGACTCAAGTCTTTTCACCTCGGATCCAGCCTTGGAAAACCAAATCTGTTTCCTACCAGGAAGTTGTTAAACCCAACATCAAAGAGCAAACTAAGGAACAGAATTCCTCGAGTCAGTATTGAACTTAATCCAAGTAAAGAATTCAAGTGGTTTGAAAATGTCCCCCACTATAGCCTCCCAGTTGCCAGCAATGCGATTATCTGGCAGACTCATGAGGGGATGTAGAAGGGAAAAGGAGTCAGGACTGGGAGCAAACAGGTCCCAGCAGAAAGGTAGGTGAGGTGAAGCCCTCTTTCATCTCTCGGTGTCCAGTCAGGGGTGTGGCATCATTTCCTCCCATGGCAGCTTACTATTTGCATAATGACGTCCCTCATTGCCAAGCTAGCCCGTTGCTCTGTCCCTCACAAAGGGACCTTTGCTGCCTTCCAACCTGTCATGTAAAACACAGGCAAATGACACGTCAGAATGTGGTTGAGGGCTCTGAAATAATTGAAGGCTATGCCTTGGGTCATACCAGACAGTCCTCTCTCCTTTCCATTTTTTTAAGATTATTTTTTATTAAATCATAACTTTGTACATTGATGTATTTATGGGGTTCAGTGTACTGCTTTGATATATACAATATGAAATGCTTACATTGTCCTCTCCATTTGTTAATGGTTCAAAACCATAATGGAATGTGCATTTCTGAGGGCACCCAGATTAGAACAGGGAAAGCTCCCTCTTAACACGCCTCACCTATTTCCCAAGGGCAGCACTGGAATAGTTTGACAAGTACTTTCTGGATTGTTTAATTTACAGAATAAATCTACAACTACAATGTTTGAAAACAAAATGGGACTGGGCCATTCATATTGTTACAGGGTCTGCAACTTGCTTCTCTCTCCTGACCCCCAATTTACGGCACCATGAGCATGCCTAGAACATTTTTCAGTGGAAATGTCATTGCACCATTCAGACAAGGTTGTGGTAGGTAGCAGTGTATGGATACTGCTTCAAGTCAGAAGGATCAGTACAGGCCCAAACTCACCTCCTCTTAGAAGCCTTCTGATTCACTCTATTTAGATCTGTTTTTTTAAATCTTTGCCTCTGAATCTTCCGGTGTTTTTCAACACTAAAGAGCAAACACTACTGTTATTCCTGAACAGTATTTGGCCCCTGTTCAGGAACCTATTCCTCTATCTTACACTCAAACCCTTTTTGTTTTAAAGAACAAAGACTCCCTTTTCCAAGGATGTATGTGGTCTGGAAAGTTCAACACCTGAGGCGACTTTAGACTTTGGCCTTCCTTGCTGTGCTTGTTTTTCTCTGTTGATTTGTTCCAGTTCTTTCTCTGGATCAGGTTCCTCACCCTACTAACTCTTTTGTTCCTTCACTGTCTGGCTTCTGCAGGTGTCCTCAGGGTCACCCATGAAGTCACCATCCATAGGGAGCACAAGAAAATGTAGCTGAAATAAATTGTATTTATTTACAAAATATTCTCTGCAAAGTTTGACAAAGAGGTGGCTAGCACATACAGAATATTTTGTAAATATTTCTTAAAATTTTGTAATGAATATGTTGTAATATTGTTCATGACTAAAGACAGGGTTAGGAGGTTAAAATAGAATTAGCATCTAGTATGATTTAAGTGGACATTTTCTCAGGGGTGATATAGACACTTGATGCCAGTGATAGGGGAGTAGAGAGAATGGACAACAGAAGAATTGACAAGGCAGGTGGGTCTCTGCCCTGTCCTTTCATCTTCCTGTGACTGCTCTCATAGTATGGAACACCTGCTAAACTTCAAACTTTGAGTTCAATTAAGGTCACCTTATACCTTGAAGAACCCCCTGACCAATTGTCTTGTGGTAGAAGGACAGAAGATGTGTGTTAATCCTCGCAGCCACCACCAGCCTCCCAGGCCGCACCCCAGAATCCAGACAAGGACTTGGGAGATAAAAGCTGAGAGAAATGCCCGTCTGCATCAGGGTGACAGAAGGCGCAGGGAGGCTGTTTAATGAGGCAAGCTTATCAGAGGGACAGGTCTGGTGTCAACGCCCTCCTTGTCACTCCCACTCTGTTTGTGTTATTAGGACTCAGCCCTCACATCCAATTCCACTGTGGCTCCCACCGACCTCCCTGTCCCCAGGGTAACACTACTCTGTCCTTCTCCACCTCAGCACTAAATCTCCTTCCCAAATGACCCAGGGACTGCTGTTCTCAGAAAACATTGCATTTCTACTGCAGCCTGCCACGCGCACAGACATCCCCCCACCCAAATCCTCAACAGGACATTTACATGTGGACCCCAACCGATCTATCTAACACTGCTCTATGCTCCCTGCTCCACCACACCAGAGTCCCATCAACCAGGTCAGGCTCCTTGCCTCTGTCAACACAGACAACCTAACACCCTGATCCATCTCGCTAGTCCTTACCTTGCCCTTCCCTCCCCACAGCCCAAAGCTGAAGTTCTCTGCACATTACCACTGCAAGGAGTTTACGCTTCTGACCTTGGTTCTCTGTTGCTCATGGCTTTGTTTCCTCCCTTGAACTGGGTGTTTTCAGGGTGGGAAGCTCTATCATTCCTTCATCCTCGCACCGTAACATCTAGAAAATGCTCATCTCAGGGGCTCACATTTATATCTTTGGAGGGAATGATACTCATGGAGAATGGTGTTGCCTTTTTGAATATTTGATGTGCTTTTGGACTAGTTATAGAGAGCTCTTAATGTGTTAATCCTGATAACAGGTTTCTATTATCACTAATTTAGTTTCCTGACCAGCAACATAAAAATGACATTGATTTCTGTTATATGTTAACTAATGGGCAATGATGAATGAATATTTTAAGTATCGGGAAGAATCTTGGTTAACAAGTTAAAGTGAATCCAAACTTCTTTTTCAAGCTCATGAAAGGGAGAGGTGGACTTTCAGAGATGAAGATTCAGGATTTGAGTCTCTCTCTTTGCCCAGATTTTCTTCCATATAAAAAACTACTCTTTTAACTCTAAAATTATATTCTTCCACCAGGCCTATTTAGCAAGAGTAGAATATTACATACATGTTTTTTGTTGTATATGTGTGCTAAAATCAGCAGTAAACACATTTTTAAAAAGATCCCTGTTTTTAACAAATGCTCCCAGGCATGCTTTGGAGTTTATTTAATTTCTAGTAATAGATGTGCAAATACATTGAGTGATCACTTCCACAACAGCCCTGTTTCTTTAAGAGACCATGGTTGTTAAGTTGGAAGATCATTGAACCATACGAGGGTCAATAAAAGAATAAAAAGTCACTGGTTAGCGATTGGAGTACAAGGAACTTGATCCTAGTTCAGTAGCTGGGTGTCCATATGCCACCCAGAGTCAGAGAGAGAGAATAGGGCCCTCAGTTGTGCGTTTCCTCAGGATGGCTTCTGGGAGGCTGATTAAGCTGTTGGTTTTTGAGCTCCTGGAGTTCGCAGCCTTCTCCGTTCCCACCCTGGTGATCATGGAGCAGTTTGCCACCGCCTATCAAGGGACAAGGACCATCTCTGAGAAAACACATTATTGGCTGATTGTTTCTTGTTCTATCGCCTATGTGGCTTTGGTGACACTAGTGATTTGGGTTCCTGTAAAAGTTCTCTTATACAAGAAACATCATCTTGTCAAAAAAATTAAAGGATGGTAAGTACAAGAATTCTTTAGCAAGGAATCTCCATGATGTGTTCGGGGATATTTTTGAATGCAATGTGTATAAGGTGGTGAGCACAGCATAAGGTGTATATAATGTATATAATGGGAGGTTAATGGTTGCTGTCAACACATTGATGTTATGGTATCTCTGGTAATTTTTCCACAGTCACTTTTATTGAGTGATAATAACATACTGTATGTGTTGATAAGGCCGGAGTTAGTACTATTGCGTGCTAGCCTAAGTAGAAAACATTGGCCCTAATTTCTCTGTACACCAAACTGCACAAAGTTATTAGAATTAACTTAGACAAATCATAATGGTGAGATTATAATATAGATTTTTACTTTTGTGTAAAACTGAAAGTAATGTCTGTTTTTAGATATTTAAGTTGCATTTTGCAAGTCTAAGGCATAATTTGGCCATCAACCAACTAAGATTTTTTTTAAGCAACTTTTTTTTTTTTACTTAGATTTTCAAAAATAATACCTTACTATGTTGGTAAATTCTATAATCCCTGTGGGAGGGGAGAGAACTTCAATAATAATACAGGGCCATTTGAAATAAATCAGGAATTAATGTTTATTTAACTAGCAATATAGCTAGTAACTACAGATCCACATAAAGGTGTTTAGCACAAATAATCTCCACGCTGATGTGTTTTTCCTTTTGAATCTTCAGATCCAATACTCATCCTGTATTTCTTCATTTTTCTTTGATAAGTTAAATCTTCTTTCTCATTAATCTTTTATTTTAAAGTGGAGCAACACAGAACACATTTGAAAAGGTAGGAGCTAAGAACTTCAGCATAAGCAATGGCAGAGATCCACAATAATAGACACAGGAGTACAGCTAATCATATTCTTCAGGAAGATGCTGGGGTGCAGAAGTGTGTAGTTGGTGAACCTCTGTTTCCTTATTGATACTGAATGTGGCCCCAAGAACCTTGCCAGGAGACTTTCAATTCCCCAAGGAAGTGCTTTTACCAGTAGGGTTTAGGGGCTCCCCAGACCTTGCCTAGAGCCTTGAGGTCACCTAAGAGGTAACTTGGAGCTGGACTGGACCCTCCACCTCCCTCATTTCCCTAGGAGTTGCTTTGACTATCCATGGTAGAATGTCCAGTGACAACAGGATGAACCCAGTGGGAAGCTGGCCCAGCACAGCCCAGGAAAGGGCTCTTGGGTTTTGTTTTTTAGTTTTCCTCATTGGCTCCTATCCCTAGGACTCTTCTGTCATCTGGGCAGCAAACCTTCCAAGGTCACTTACTGTCATTATCATTAAGCTATAAATGCTTCTTTACAGATCATTACTGGGACTGATGTAAGGTGGTACAGAAACATCTCTTTTATCTCTTTTATTTTCATGAGTTTATCATTACCGTTCTTAAATCAGTCAATTAGTGAGTGAGACTTTGGACCTAGGTCTGTCTGACATTGTAATGGGTACTTCCAATCACTGCCCTAAACCACCTTTTTGAAGGATGAAGGCCCAATTTTCTGGGGCATTTGAAATTTTTAAAGAGAATAGGCTTTGGTTTCTATGGAAGTCCCCTATGTATGTGGTAAACCGCTCACCTCCTGTCTGCTCAGATTTCATCTTGCATATTTGGTTTAGGTGCCCCCTCACCCATGCTAAAGTCTCAGGATATTTCAACAATGACATTTTTCAATGATTTCATTTGGGAAATACTTTTCCAGTCTTCAGATTCTGCTTGTGGGTGTGGTTTGCCATTAGTGTTTTACACAGTTTTAGATAGACAACAGGTTATCTACAATTTCAGTGAAACTGAAACTCTGTCCTCTTGGCTTCATTTGTAAACATTATCATCTAGTTATTGTCTACTTAGAGGAAGAAAATAGCTCCTAAAAACTATTCTAGGAACTTTACACACTTTGTGCTATTACATTAGAACTTTACAACATCCTAGTGAAATGTAGGTGTTGGCATTCTCGTTTTAAGATAAAGAAACTGAAACTCAAAGAGGTGATTAACTTTGTCAAGAGATTTAAAGCTAGTCAAGAATTGGAGCTGGGATTTGTGAACCTGGATCTGTCTGATTTCACACTGTTTCCTCTATTTCTTTTAACTGTTCCTTTATTCTTTCTAATTTCAAATGTCAAGTGTGTTTCAAGAAAAAAATGCAACTCTTTTAGTATTATTAGGGTACATTTTTCCCAAAGATGTGAATTAGCATATTTCATATGATTCCCAAAGATGTGCATTTGGGTACTACCGTGTTTCCCCGAAAATAAGACACCATCTTATATTTATTTTTTTCTCAAGAAGACACACTAGGGCTTATTTTCAGGGGATGTCTTATTTTTATTACATATAATACAACAATCTACATTTATTCAAATACAGTTAAGTCATCTTCTTCTGGAATCTGATAGGGGGAGCTGACCTTATTGGTGAGGCTGGTGCTAGTGATGCATGAACTCCTTTCCCCTAGCCGTTTGCACGTGCGCAATAGGATGCTTGTGACTGCAGTTACCACACACGCACCTGCGCAAGTGCGAACGGCTCAGAGAAAGGAGCTGTGGCAGATAAAAGGTATTCCAGTCTTCCTTACCGCTCTGTGCCAAAACACGTATCTGTATAGCCACGCCCATCACTAGGTTTTATTATGGGGTAGAGCTTCTATTTAACAAATGCATAGGAATCCTGCTAGGGCTTATTTTTTTGGTAGGTCTTATTTTGGGGGAAACATGGTATAATATATGTGGTAATACATATTATAGGGTGTTACATCCTAATTGCTAAGTGAAGGTGATACAAAGATAGTTAATACTGTAGAAAGTGGAAATTGGAAGTATGAATTATGTTTGAAGAAGAATTAAATAGTTGTTTACATAAAATTTCATAGATCCTGATCATTTACAGATTTAATGTTGTCAAATCTGTTTGAGCGCTTCCCTGAAGGTGGGAGCTGGCATCACGAGCCTCTAAGGCTGGTCTTCAGGAGAGAGCAAGTCATCAGCAAAGTGTGTGCCCCAGGAATTCACCTAAGAGAATCCAGACCTGGATTCAAATTCTAGCTTTGACATGGGCCGGGGGACCTTGTGTGAGTTATTTAAATTGTTTGAGCCATAGTTTTTTTCATGAGCAAAACAGGGACAACTGAATTTTTTCCTTGGAGGAAAGAATGGCCAACGTGAGGATAAAACTGGTAAAATAGAAGAAACCGTTAATAAGTTTTCAGTGATAATCCTTGAATGTGGAGAATTTTACAGGTCTCTCCTATGAGTATAATGAGGGCCCCTATAATGATATCATTATTTATGATATTTATGAAGTATTTTGCATTTACACAGTGATTTTTTTTTTTTTTTTGAGACAGAGTCTCCCTCTGTCACCCTGGGTAGATGCTATAGTGTCATAGCTCAGAACAACCTCAAACTCTTGGGCTCTAGTGATTCTCTTGACTCAGCCTCCCAGGTAGCTGGGACCACAGGCAACCACCACAACACCCAGCTAATTTTTCTATTTTTAGTAGAGATGGGGTCTCACTTTTGCTCAGGCTGGTCTCAAACTCTTGAGCTCAAGCAGTCCACCTGCTTTGGCCTCACAGAGTTGGGATTGCAGATGTGAGATGCTGCGTCTGGCTTACACAGTGGTTTTATGTTTCATTTTTTCACTAGACCTGCACACCAGCATTGTGAACTTGACCAAGTGGACATAATCTCCATTTTATATAAGGGAAGAAACAATTTCAGAGAGCTTAAAGCATAAATGAATCAATGGTGGCGTCTGGATGTCAATCCAGTATTGTTTTCTTTCCTCTGGTACTTGACGCTTACTCCTTCTTTTATAATTATCATTCCTTTCTAGGGTCACCTGTCATACTTTATAGTAAAGGAGGTATTTGGTGGGTGGAAGAATGAAGGAAAGCTATTTATATACTCACAAAACTGTGTACTCCAGTAAATAAGAAAGATCCTTTCTTGAAGTACCTATAAATGGTGAAATCAGTGAGCTCCATACTGCCCTGCACCCAGAGTAGGTCCCTGCAGGGGAACACCTCCTTCCTCAGGTATTACCCCTTTCCTCAGGGAGTTTGCAAACTGCCATGGAGACTGCACAGTTATTTATTCATAAAAAGCTAGAAAGTAACATAAACCATGATACCATAAATCATTGTACTTTGAGTCATCAGAACGTAATTCTGGGGAAGTGCCTGTTTCTGGTCTTTGCCAAGAGGTTACACTTCCCATCAGGCTGTAACCCTTTGAGGAAGTAAAGTTCTCCTTTCCAGGAGAAAAAGAAACAACTTGATTTTGACAGTAGAGTAGGTGTCCTTTTAGATTCATCCTTCCCATCCCCACCCTGCCAGCCCATCATAGTGTCTCACACCCAGCAGATTTTCAATACATGAGTTTATGAACTCAGGTTTATTAAGAGAATACTGTGCTCTGGAGCCATTGGAGAAAATCTCATGAAGAAAGCATCCTTTGAGCCCAGCTTGGACAGATGGGAAGGGAAGACACCCCCAAGAAGGGGTATGAGCAAGAAAAATGAGTTAATGTAGGAATAAGCATGAATTCTTTAAGGGGAGGGAGAAGACCCACTTTTTTAGAAGGCAGCACGTAGAGAGAAGTGGGCTGGGCAGCACCACAGGGTGGTAGCTTAGGACAGGAGTTTTGGAGTTAGAAAGGCTTGGATTAGAACTTATCTTTCACCTCCTAGCAGTGGGTCCTTGGGCGAGTTAATTAAACCTTCAACACCAGTTTCCTCATTTGCAAAGTAGGGGTGATACTTCTCTCACAGGGTTGTTGTAGGGTTTGAGTGATGGATATAAAATGTTTTCCTATAGTTCTTGGCAGGGAGTTCGAGCTCACTAAGGTGGTGCAGAGTGGGAGTGTTACTATCTGTTGGAGAGATAAGGCCAGATTGTGGGGAGCCCGGAAAGACAGGCAGGGACACTTTGACTTAATGGTTAGGTAAAGGAGAATCTTTATACTGAGCCTAGAGTCATTTTCCAAGTTACTAGCTG